TCAGTCAGTTGAGCATCCAACTCTTGGTTTTGGCTCAGATTGTGATTTTGCAGTCATGGGATCAAGCCCCATATCTGGCTCCATACTCAGCAGGGAGTCTGCTTCAGATTCTCTCTCCCTCTCCTTCTGCCCCATGTACTACATGCAAATGTGTGCAGAGGCTTTCTCAAATAAGTAAGCAAGTAAGTAAGTAAGTAAGTAAATAAATAAATAAATAAAATCAATCTTAAAAAAAATAAACTGTAGCAAGAAATAAAGAATGGTATTACATGATAAAGGTATTCAATCCAACAAGATGATAGAACAATTGTAAATATCTATGTACCCAACAATGAGGCACCTAAATACATACAGCAAATATTATCAGACATAAGGGGAGAAACTGACAGCAATAAAAAAATAACAGGGCACTTTAACACCCCTCCTTACTCAAAGGATGGACCATCCAGGCAGAAAATCAATAATAAGGAAACAATGTCTTTGAATGACACATTAGATCAGATGAACTTAGTAGATATATACAGAACATCCCATCCAAAAACAAAAGAATACATACTATTTTCAAGTGTTCATGAAGAATCTCCTGGATAGATCACATGTTAGACCACAAGTCTCAATAAATTTAAGAAGACTGAATCATGTCATATATCTTTCCCAACCATAACAGTACAAAACTAGAAATCAATTACAAGGAAAAAGAAAGAAAAAACACAAACACATGGAGGCTAAACAACATGCTACTAAACAATCAATGGGCCAACAAAGAAATCAAAAAGGAAATAAAAAAAATATTATGAGAACAAATGAAAATGGTAACACAACAGCCCCAAGTCTTTGGAGCACAGCAAAAAGCAGTTCTACGAGGGAAATTTATAGCAATACAAGCCTACCAAAGAATCAAGAAAAACCTCAAATAAACAACCTAATCTTACATCTGAAGGAACTAGAAAAAGAACAACGCCGGACATCAGACAGAATAAAATAATAAAGTTTAGAGCAGAAATACATGAGACAATTTTAAAAAATGGAAAAGGTCATTGAAACCAAGACCTGGTTAGCTGATAAGATAAACAAAATTGATAAACCTATAGCCTGACTCATCAAGAAAAAGAGTACTCAAAATCAGAGATAAAAGAGGAGAGGTAACAACCAATATCACAGAAATACAAAGGATTATATGAGACTACTATAAAAAATTATATGACAACCTAGAAGAAATGGATAAACTCCCAGAAATATACAACGTTACGAAACTGAAGCAGGAAGAAACAGAAAATCTAAATAAACTCTTTATGACTAATAAGGTTAAGTCAGGAATTAAAAAAATTCCCAAAAACACAAGTCAAGACTAGATGGATTCACAGGCTAAAACCCACCAAACATGTAAAGAGTTAATACGTATTCTCCTCAAACTATTCTAAAAAGATAGAAGCAAGCTTCCAAATACATTCTATGAGGCCAGTATTACCCTGATACCAAAACCAGAAAGACACTTTAAAAAAGCAAGCAAGCAAGCAAGCAAGCAAACACAGGCCAGTATCCCTGATGAATCCACATTCAATTAATCTAAGATAGAGGAGGCAAGAATATACGACAGAGAAAAAAACAGTCTCTTCAATAAATGGTGCTGGAAAAACTGGACACCTACATGCAAAAGAATAAAGGGGGACCACTTTCTTACACTATACACAGAAATTCAAAATGGATTGAAGACCTAAAATATGAGATACAAAACCGTAAAACTCAGAGCAAAAAAAAAAAACTGGCAGTAACTTCTCTGACATCAGCCATGGCAACATTTGTCTAGATATATCTTCTCAGGAAAGGGAAACAAAAGCAAACATAAATTATTGGAACTACATCAGAAAAAAAATTTTGCACAGCAAACAAAACCATCAACAAATGAAAAGGCAACCTACTAAATGGGAGAAGATATCTGCAAATGATGTATCAGATTAAGGATTAATATCCAAAATATATAAAGAACTTAATACAACTCAACACCAAAAAAAACCCCAAACGGTCTGATTAAAAATGGGCTAAAGACCTAAACAGACATTTTTCCAAAGACATACAGATGGCAACAGACAACAGACACAAGAGAAGATGCTCAATATCACTAATCATCAGGGAAATGCAAATCAAAACCACAGAATGGCAAAAAGACAAACCAGTGTTGGCAAGGACATGGAGGAAAAGAAACTCTAGTGCACTGCTGGTGGGAATGTAAATTGGTGCAGTCACTGTGAAAACCAGTATGGAGGTTCCTCAAAAAATGAAAAGCAGAAATATCATATAACTCAGTAATTCTACTCTACTGGGCATTTACCCTCTCCAAAACAAAAATACTGATTTGAGAAGATATATGCACCCCTATGTTCACTGCAGCATAATTTACAATAAGCAAGATATGAAAGCAACCCAAGTGTCCACTGATAGATGAATGAATAAAGAGGATGTGGTATGTGTATACTCTCTCTCTCTCTCTCTCTCTCTCTCACATACACACACACACAAACACACAATGGAATATTACTCAGCCAAAAAAAAAAAAAAAAAGAACGAGAGCTTGCCATTTGCAATAACATGGTTGGACCTAGAGAGTACAATACTAATTAAAATAAGTCAGAGAAAGACAAACGCTGTATATTTTCAACATATGTGGAATCTAAAAATCAAAACAAATGAATAGGGGCACCTGAATGGCTCAGTTGATTAAGCAACTGCCTTCAGCTCAGGTCCTGGGATCAAGCCCCACATCAGGGAATATACTCAAAGGAACTATAATAGCACTGTATGGTGACAGATGGTAGCTGAACTTGTGAGGACAGCATAAGGCACAGACTTATTGAATTACTATGCTATACACCTGAAATGTAACATTGTGTCAATTATACTTCAATTAAAAAAAAAGAGAGAAAGATCTTGCAATATGTGACAATGTGGATGGACCATGGGGGCATTAAGTAAAATAAACCAAGAGAAAGACAAATATTGTATGATCTCAACTATATGTGGAATCTTAAAACAAACAAACAAGAACTCATAGAAAAAGAGATCAGACTTGTGGTCTTCTAGTTACCAGAGAATAGGGTATGAGGGGGAACTGGATGAAGGTGGTCAAAAGGTACAAACTTCCAGTTAAAAGAAGAACTAGGATGTAATATATTACATGATGGAAACAGTTAACACTGCTGAATGATATCTATGAAAGTTGTTAAGAAAGTAAATCCTAAGGGTTCTCATCACAGGAAAATTTTTTTTCTTTGTATCTACATGAGAGGAAAGATGTAAACTAAACTTATAGTGGTAATAATTTCATGATATATGAAGTCAAGTCATTGTGTTGCACACTGTGAACTTATACAGTACTGTATGTTAAATATGTCTCAGTAAAACTGAAAATTAAAAAAATGTAATCAAGATTCATGTTTAAAACTCACCAATGAAAAAATAAATAAATAAATAAATAAATAAATAAATAAATAAATAAATAAATAAATAAAATAAAACAAAACTCACCAATGACTTCCAACTTCATTTAGAAAAAAAACTAAGGTAGTCTGCTTACTTCACGTGCTCCCCACTAAACAAGGTGCTCCTCCAAAGGCCAGACGTGGTCTTGAACTCACCTCTGGAACCCAGCGCTTCACAGACAGTATGTGCTCAGCACTGCTCTTTCCTCAATCTCACCATTTCCCCAGCTTGAATTATCACTTTTATTTAATTTTTAGATTTTATTTATTTATTCACGAGAGACACAGAGAGAAAGAGAGAAAGAGAGAGAGAGAGAGAGAGAGAGAGAGAGAGAGGCAGAGACAGGCGTTGGGAGAAGCACGCTCCATGAAGGGAGCCCGATGTGGGACTCGATCCTGGGACTCCAGGGTCATGCCCTGAGCCGAAGACAGATGCTTAACCGCTGAGCCACCCAGGCGTTCCACTTTTACTTTAAAATAGGAAAAATTAGATTTTTTTAGACTTAAATCTAAAATTAGATTTTTAAAAAAGATTTTATTCATTCATTCATAAGAGACAGAGAGGCAGAGACACGGGCAGAGGGAGAAGCAGGCCCCATGCAGGGAGCGCGACGTGGGACTCGGTCCCGGGTCTCCAGGATCACGCCCTGGGCCGAAGGCATGAGCCACCCGGGCGTCCCAGAGTTACCACTCTGACCCGACGCTTCTCACTTTAGATACAACCGTGTTTTGGGTCATACTGTGTACCTACATCTGACTGTGTGACCTACACTCAAATTTCAAAAGTACCTCAAATTTAATATGTGCAAACACAGACGTTTAATTCTGCCTCCTTTCCGATCTCACCTCACCCACTCCCTTTGCATCCCTCACCCCTTCATTCCTCCCGCCAAAAAAAAAAAAAAAAGAAATCTTACAATTAACGTTCTCTGTCTTGGTATAAATGGGAATACTTCCCGCTCAAACGTTCAAGCCAGAGCCCTGAGACGTAAGGCTGACGTCTCCTTTTAGACTCGGAGCCAAGCCATACCCAAGCCTTACCAATCAGGGAATCCCACCTCAAACACGGGTTTCCAGACCCCCTGTGTTCAGTCTCACGTCAGCACTTTGGCCTAGGCTGTCCCCGCTGCTTGAAACGCTTCCCCGGCACGGCTGGCCAGGTCTCAGCTCCGGTCCTAAGGTCCAGGGACCCTTCCCGGTCCTTCCGACCAAGTCTGCGCGCCGCTCTGGGTCACGCTGCACTGCCCCTGCCCCGCGGCGCCAGCGGTTCCCTCAAGGGCAGACTCGCTGGGTTGGCCACGCCCCCTACACGCAGCGCGGCGCCCGCACACCTCCGAGCTCGGGCCCTGCTGGCGACCACAGACCCCGCCCCTTCAAGGTGCAGGAGCCGGCCGGGCCTGCGCGCGCAGCTAGAAGAGCGGCGCACGGCGGGGAGGGGCCCGCGGCCGCGGGCTGTCGCCAGCCGGAAGCGAGCGCTAGGACTCCCCGGACCACGCGCCCGCGGACATCTGGCCGGTCACTCACCCGCCTCGGAAGCAAGCCGACGGCATGGCAGCCCCACCCCGCAGGGCCCGGGCGGCGGCTGGAGCAGGGCGCCGAGCTGGGGCCGAATTCGGGCCCGGAAACAGCCCCGCTCCGAGTTCCGAGAACCTGTCAGGAGGCTCCACAGCGTCACAGACGTCCTGAGGGCCGCCATGACTATCCGGAGGTGGCGGGGAGGGGCACCTGCGCCGGAAGCCGCTGGAAGCAACCGGGCCTCGCGAGGTTCGCGTGGCATTCTGGGAAATGTAGTCTGGTTGAGGGAGGCGGGAGGCAAAACTGAGCAACTTTACGATTTCTTGTAAACCTCTCCTGCACCTGTGGAAAAGATTAGTGTCCTCTGTCTTGTTGATTTTCACCATTCTCACTGGTGTGAGGCGGTATCTCATTGTGGTTTTTTTTCTTTTTTCATTGTGGTTTTGATTTGTATTTCCCTGATGGCCAGTGATGCGGAGCATTTTCTCATGTGCTTGTTGGCCATGTGTATGCACAAGGCAGGGAACAACAAATGTTGGCGAGGATGTGGAGAAAGGGGACCCTCTAGCACTGTTGGTGGGACTGTGAACTGGTGCAGCCACTCTGGGAAACTGTGTGGAGGTTCCTCAAAGAGTTAAAATAGACCTGCCCTACGACCCAGCAATTGCACTGCTGGGGATTTACCCCAAAGATACAGATGCAGTGAAAGATCGAGACACCTGCACCCCGATGTTTCTAGCAGCCATGTCCACAATAGCCAGATTGTGGAAGGAGCCTCGGTGTCCATCAAAAGACGAATGGATAAAGAAGATGTGGTTTATGTATACAGTGGAATATTCCTCAGCCATTAGAAACGACAAATACCCACCATTTGCTTCGATGTGGATGGAACTGGAGGGTATTATGCTGAGTGAAGTAAGTCAATCGGAGAAGGACAAACATTATATGGTCTCATTCATTTGGGGAATATAAAAATTAGTGACAGGGAATGAAGGGAAAGGAGAGAAAATGAGTGAAAATATCAGTGAGGAGGACAAAACATGAGAGACACCTAACTCTGGGAAATAAACAAGGGGTAGTGGAAAGGGAGGTGGATTGGGGGTGGGGGTGACTGGGTGATGCGCACTGAGGGGGGCAATTGGCGGGATGAGCACTGGGTGTTATGCTAAATGTTGGCAAATTGAACTCCAATTAAAAAAAAAAAGATTCGTGTCCTCTGTATGTACAGAAAAGGTAAAACCTACACCATCTCCCTCTTTTTCCTGGACCTTTCCTTCGTTTCCATGGCTCTAAAAAATTTCCATTTCCTGCCCAAACCTTTTTTCCCAGCCTCAGGTTTAAACCCAACTGCCTATTTGACTTATCCATTCAAACTTATCAGTCCTTCCTGCACGCCAGATAAAGCTCCTGATTCCAAGGCTTGATTGCCGCCACCACCTTCATCCCCACCAACTCATACACCTCATTCTGTTTCAGAACCTTACTCCTTTAGTGCATCACTCTTTTCTCATTTTATGATATTTTCTTATTTTTTTCCATCCCATGAAGATGATCGCTCTATATATTTTATTATACTGTGGGCTAACGTGGTATATCTCTATGCACAGCAGACATTTGTTGAATAAATGACAAAATGAATGACTTAATGATCCTATTGTTTTCTTACCAGCTGTCCAGGATGTGTTTCTCTTCCCTATAGTCTGGTGCCTGTGCTAAGAACTCGTCTCAAGGCCTGGCTAAAAGAGGGTGTTAATACTTGGCAAACAAACAAACAAACAAAAAATTAAAAAAAAAATACTTGTCAAACAAGTATCCACATGCACTGAGAAAGAGATGGGAAAAGGTGTATCTTGGCTGGGGACCCTCCCCGGTTCCTTTCATTTGATGTCCTTTACTTAGGCCGCACTAAGTTTTACTGACATATATCAACCACAATGCCTGGTTCCAGCTGTAACCTTGGAGAGATGCCCACATCTTTCAGAGTCTCAGTTCCTTGCCTACAAAAGAGGTTTAATGAGGGCACTTATCTTGCAGACTTTGAGGATAAGGGATTCTCAGGATTTGATGCCTGGTATTTCACAAATGGGATGGACGCAAGATGGTTGGGTGGCAGTTCCTTTCTGAACATCTTCAGAGAGAAAGTTATAGAGAGTTACTTTTTATCAATTAAGTTTATCTGGTTATAAGTGACAGAAATCTTTCCTGTCTAAAACTGAGATGGAAGTGATGGGAAGGATGTTGAATATCTCACAGAGTTAAAGGGAACGCTGATCAGCCAAACCGCAGGAAGGCCTTGAACAGTGGAAGCTCCAGGGTCCCCAGAGGCAGGAACTCAAGAGAAATCTCTCCAGGAGGCTGCTGTCAGAATGCCTGGGTTCCAACTATATGCTTTCCATGAAATTCAAGTTCCTGGTGAGAGAAACTGATTGGCCTGGTAAGAGCAACTGAGGTCGTATTCACCAGTGCAATATTCTAACTGAGCGTCCCACAACACCCTGGATGCCTCTAGTGGTAGGGTTCATCAGATCAAATCTGGGATCTTCAGTTCTGTGGAGCAAGAATTGGTCTTATTATTATTTTTTAAAGATCTTATTTATTTATTCATGAGAGACACACAGAGAGAAGAGAGGCTAAGACACAGGCAGAGGGAGAAGCAGGCTCCATGCAAGGAGCCTGATGTGGGACTTGATCCCGGGTCCCCAGGATCACACCCTGGGCTGCAGGTGGCACTAAACCTCTTCGCCACCACCACCAGGGCTGCCCGTTCTTAATGTAAAACAAAAGTGTAGCAACATTTCAAAGACTCAACTATCAGTGGTTTTACAGGGTCTAAACTTTTCATTGTTTTCCTAAAGGGATTGGGATTTTGCCCTGGGATTTTAAGAATTCTTCAAGATGAGGATCTGGGGGCAGAAGTCAGGAAGAGGGATGGAGAGAACAAAGACAGGGCCTGAGAAAGAAGAGTGACAGTCTGGAAAACTTAACCTCCAGCAACACCCTCGAAACTTCTACATAGTTTTCAAAACACCATCTTCCCCAAGGACCACATGTGCCCCATTTTTGTCTTCACCCAGAGTGGTTTTTCCATGCCCGTTTTAGCTCCAAATTCCCAACATGTTCCCACAGACACAAATTCCATGGCCAAAGCCCCTTTGTGCACTGAGAAGAGATGGGTAATGAGGCAAATAGTAAAATGAGAAGGGACAAGTAATGATGGGAGGTTCCCAAGGAAGCTGCAGAGTAAGAGGCCCTAAGTGGGAACATTGGCCACTGATGGAAAGCAGTCTTTGTACTAGGAAGCAAGAAGTGAAAAATGGGTTGAGTATGTATAGGTTTTTTTTTTTTTTTTTAGATTTTATTTAATCTTATGAAAAGAGAAAGAGAGAGAGCACATAAGAGGAGCAGAGGGAGAAGCAGACTCCACATCGAGCAGGGAGCCCAATGTGGGGCTCAATTCCAGGACTGGAGCAGAAGGTAGATGCTTAACCAACTGAGTCACCCAAGTGCCTGAGTGCGGATGGATTTTGAGGAAGGAATCAGAAGACCTTCCTGCCTCTCTGCCTCTTTTCTCCAAGCAACAGAAAGCAAAGTCATTGGCCGAGAAGAAGCAGGGTTGTGTTGGCAGCTGCAGGAACACGAAGTCTGATGGTGCTGCTGGGCCGGGGGTGGGGGGGTGGGGGGGCGGGGGGGTTGTTATGCACTTGGCTGTGATGCCAGAACCTGAAGAAACAGCACCCCTCTAGTGGTAGGGCACTCACAGCAGTGCAGGAGAAAAGGAACCAGGATCTGGAAGCCAGGAAGTTATTCCTGATAGTTCTAGAGGAAGATGGAAAACATTTGCCTGGAAGCCTGTGCAAGTCTAGATCTGAACAGAGACACCCTGAGCAATGGTGAGCATGTTGAAAGATGTGACAAAGCACAGCCACTGTCCCTGTCCCTTGGAGTGCACTCTTTTCATCAGTCCTGCTGGTCATGGCAAATTGGTGAAGCAGACAGGAGAGGCATCAATATGACCATCTTCTCTAGTGTCAGCTGGGGCTCCAAAGTTAAAGGTGTTACCCAAGGCCATCCAATTTATTCAAAGCAAAGACAGGGCTACACTCTGGGGTCCCTGGCAACATTATGGTGGAAAAGCTGTTTCACATGTGTTTCATGGGGTAAGGAAAAACACTGAGACTTCCAGAAATGATACAGACTGTCTTCTGAGCCCAGAAAGGGGCCCAAAAAGAGCAAGCAAGAAGATTGTCCTCCACCGTGAGACAGTGGGGGCGGATGAGTCACTGCCTCCAACCCTGGAGTTAATCTATCTCCAATTTTCCGCATGGCACTCTGTCTCTTTATTTCTGACAGCACCCACTGAACTATGGTTCTACCCCAAACTGAACACTAGAAACAGAAAATGATAGCCAGAGACCAAGGCTACATCTATCTCTGATGACAGGCAGACTCTCCGTCCGATAGCACAGGGACATAAATGTTAAAGGCACTTAGACTGGCTCCTCCCCACTATACCAGGTGCCCCCACAATGACGGAGGCCCAGAGCAATCACCCCATGTCACAGCCATCATGGATATGATCTATAATAGCTGACACTTGGCTCCCTTGCTCCCGAGAGCCGGCTGCTGTCAGGTTTGGTATGTGGAACATTTTGTCAGAGGGACATGCTGGCCTGGGTTGAAAGTAATTCCCATCAGCTCAGAACCGGGTGGTCTGTCACAAGATTATTTTTCAGTTCGATCTGGACTCCGGAACTCCTTTGGACAGAGAGCTGGTATTTTCAAAGGTTAATAAGCCTGTCAGAAATTTCTTTTATGAGAAAATGTGACGCATCTGATTGCCCTGACTTGCAGGCAGTCGCCAGATCAGGGACCTGAACGTAATTTCACTTTTGATTCAGAACTGCAGCGTCCTGAAGATTCCTGGGGTCTGGACTGGGAGAGGCTGGCAGTGGGATGCAGTGGTTGCTGCTGATGGGAAGCTGGAACCAAAAGACCAGAATATAAATTCTTAGGGTGTTCTAAGCGTGTGTGCCTACGTGTATGTGTATGTGCAAATGTGTATGTGTCTTCAGGGGATCTATATGTGTGCACGTGTATATGCATGGGTGGCCATGAATGTGCATATGTATTCAAAATATGTATGGACATGCACACAAGCAAATGTTTTCTCCGTGTTTGCAGCTTGCCATTGTATTCTTTTAACAACATCTTTAAGGGAAGTTTTTAATTTTGATGTTCAGTTTATCAGTGTGTTCTTTCATGGGCCGTGCTTTGCCTAACCCAAGGTAACAAAGCTTTCTTCTATGTTCTCTTCTAGAAGTTTCATAGTTTTACATTGCACATTTAGGTATATGGTACATTTTGAGTTAATTTTTTATATTAACAGTATATTACTGTGAGGTATGGATTGAAGTATATTTTTGCAAATTTATGCCAATCGTTCCAGAATCAGCCATCTATATCTGCGTGGGCACACTTTTGAAGTCTCTATTCTATTCTAGTGACCTATTTTTATATGTTTATGCCAATACTACATTGTTTGTTTTATTATGTGGTTTTATAATAAATCTTGAAATCAGGTAGTGTTAGTTCTCCAATTTAGTTCTCTTTTCCTTTTTTTTCAAAGTTGTTTTGGCTATTTTATGTTCTTTGCATTTCCATTTAAATTTTAGAATCTGGTTTTCAGTTTCTATAAAAATCCTGCTGGAGGGGCACCTGGGTGGCTTAGTTGGTTAAGCATCCGACTCTTGGTTTCCACTCAGGTCATGATCCCACAGATTGTGGGATCAGCCTTCGGGAGTGCCCCCTCCCCATGTTGGGCTTCCCACTCAGCAGGGATTCTCTCTCTGCCCCTCCCCACACTAGTACTTGTGTGCATGCATGTTTACTTGTGCTCTCTTTCTCTCTCAAATAAATAATCTTTTTAAAAAATTCTTTTGGAGTTTTGATTAAAATTATGTCAAATCTCAGATCAAATCTAAGATCTCTGACCAAATCAAATGGATTTATTTGGAGAGAATAGATATCTTAACAATACTGAGTCTTCTGACCCATGAACCTATGAATCTGTCCATTTATTTAGGTCTACTTTAGCTTCCCT